TTGAGAAGTATTACTGTAGAAGATTTTCGAAAATGAAAAAGACTACTGTTGGGAACATTTTTTATAAAATTTAATGGATTACTATAGGGAAAAGTGTTGAATAATGAGAAGGGTTACTGTAGGGCGAAATATTCGAAAATGAAAAAGATTACTATAGAGGAAAACATTCAAAAATGAAAAGGATTACTGTAGAAGAAAACATTCAAAAATGAAAAGGATTACTGTAGGGGAAAACATTCAAAAATGAAAAGGATTACTGTAGAAGAAAACATTCAAAAATGAAAAGGATTACTGTAGGGGAAAACATTCAAAAATGTAAAGGATTACTGTAGAAGAAAACATTCAAAAATGAAAAGGATTACTGTAGGAGAAAACATTCGAAAATGAAAAGGGTTACTGTAGGCAGAAAGGAATCTTACAATTTTCTCTGAAATGCATAATTATAACTGGTATTGTTTATTGGCACAGTATAAAGTGTAATATCAACCTTCTTCTTACCAGAGTGCTGGTAGATCTGAAAAGAAGGACATGGATAATCGCTCAAGACAAAATCCCGATGTTTCTATACGTTCATTTCAGAACAATTCTTACCGGAATAGGTCATTTGATTGTTTGCGCTGTGGAACTGTTTCAGTGTAACAAATAAGCTCGCNGTNNCTCCACCCCTTTTTTATAATAAAAAAATATTGAATTCCGGATTCCGTTTCTCAAAAAAGACATTCTGGACAGGATCATAGCACGGATATTAGTTTAAAAAACATGAAAATTATTTTGGAAACAGAAAGCTTTATTTCGAACAATCACAACAAGATCAATATTGATAATTGCTGAACCAGCTCTTCTTTTCCCTTGTTGTCTCTTTATTCTACTTCTTCTGGAAACAATCGTTTCCGATTCCAGCCAGCGTTTGATAGTTCGGGTCATGAGTTGCAGCCATTCCAGGACCTCCCGGCTTTGGAGCCGCTGGAGCAGCACCACCTGCAGCCGGTTTAGCACCACCGTCTTTCTTGTCAAAGCAATCATTTCCGATTCCAGCCAAAGTTTGGTAGTTTGGATCATGTGTAGCTGAGAGTGAAGAAATTGAAAAATGGAAAAGAAATAAAACAATTACCAGCCATTCCAGGACCTCCAGGCTTAGGTGCTCCTGCAGCTGGAGCAGCTCCTCCTGCCGCTGGAGCAGCTCCACCAGCAGCTCCCTTCTCTTGGAACACATTTCCGTCAACATTAGCAAGAGTTTGATAATTTGGGTCATGTGTTCCAGCTACCGCATTCTTATCCGTCGGTGCTTTTGGACCAGCTTCACCTGGTTTCTCAGTTCCTCCTGCTGGTTTATCGTCATTCTTCTTTTCACTCTTCTGCGATGCACCACCTCCAGATTTCTCTTCTGCTCCACCAGCCGATGCTGCACCGCCCTTCTTCTTCTTTCCACCACATTGAGAAAGGGTGTACCCGGTGAGCACAATTGGTGCGATCATACTGTAGCCAAGTTGAGCGAGTTGTAGAAGTGTGTCACTGTTCTCCGCCATGTTTCTTTCTGAATTTGTAAACTTTTAGTGGAGTTATTTGCAGGAGAAATATTGCTTACCGAATACACACGATCGCAGAATAAAACTCAGAATAAACGTATTAAGAATGTGGAGAACACTGATCTTTTGAGATTGGTGTTTTTACAGAATTCACGTCGTAATTTTATGCTTCGGTATCAAGATGCGAGGCTGTGAAAATTGGGGCCGTGGGTCTTAGTATTTTTATGATAGCCCAAAGATGATCGACGCGATATTTCTCGCACGACCGTTTTTTCTGATTTGTATCGATGTAACTCTGTGCTACATTTTCCTATTTCGAGCCTACATATTTGCTTGGAATTCGATTTAAATTTGCCTTTTCAACCGAATTTCCATAATAATGCGTTGACAGGGCCAGAAATATTCATCAATGTTTTCGATGCGAATTTAACAGAATATTAACATCGCAAGGACAAAAAAGCTTAAATTTTAGGCCGTTAGATCAATTTATCTCAAAAAAACAAAAATTTTGCAATCTGAAAATTTCACAGCTGATTATTGAAGAGTTGGTTTTGGCACTCAAAAAATTTCAGCCACTCACTATCATTCCTACAGTTTTTAGGGCTAGGCAAAGTTGAGCTATAATACAGAAAGGCAGTGTGCCTCCCAAGACTAATTTTCATGAGATGAAGCAACTTTGACAAGCGATAACTCATCTCAAATTTGATGATTTAGTTAGAAATTTAGCGAGTTTACTGATGAGGTATGTGAATTGTTGCTCTCAAAATTTGGGCCCAGTGTGACTCTTCACTCCAATTTTATGATAGAAAGAACTTGAGTCCGGGTAATTATGCGCCACCCTGTATTTCAGAAGGATAGTCGAAACCTAATTCTTCTGATTCATATTTTTTAGAATTTCCAATAGATTTTCAGCACTTAACCCTTACAAAAACCAAATTGAGCCACTGAAAATCTTAAAAACCCTTACTTCTTTCCTTCAATGAAAAAAGAGTAAAGGAAGGTGAATCCAAGAAAGGATATGGAATTCCAAATGAGAGGGACAATTTTAGGAATTCGAAATGAATTTCATAAATGAATGTAGTCACTTCAAAACAAGCCTTTGAATTTCAATTGTCATGTATTATGTATTTTTCAACAAATAAAAGATCTAATTCGATTACAGTGTCCATTCGATGTAGTTCTCCAAAATTTACACTTTCTTTCCTTTTTGAATTTTTTCGGATGAAATTTTTTTTATTTTCTGTTTGGTGATCATCATGACCATTAGGAACTATAGGTTGGCGGGAAAGTCTTTGTCACTCTGTTTGTTTAATCACTGTTCTCGTATATGGAGGCTGTGTATGATATCGACTTTAGTGAATAACAAGGTGATAAGAACCTTCCATATAAACAAGTCCCCATCTCCTTCCCTGCTCCTCATCTGTAATTGAAACGATATGTTTGTTCCCACTGCTATTCACATCAGACATGTTTTGATTTACCTCTTCCTATCTCACACCACGATGAAGGATTCGGAAACTTTCTTGAAGAATGTGTACAACACACATGCCCCTCACTACAATACTATTCGCAATTGGTTCCATCGTTTCGAAAAAGATGACTTCTCGCTCGATGAAAAGGATCGCTCTGGGAGACCCCGTGAGTTGGATTTGGACAAGCTGAAGCACGCATTGCAATCGGATCCATTTCAATCTAGCCGTGAACTAGCTGTCACATTCGGAGTTCACCATAGCACAGTCCTTGAAGGTTTGAAGTCTCTTGGAATGAGAAAACTTTTTGGTCGATTCATACCTCATCACCTGACTCAAGCCAACCTTGACCGCCGAGTCGACGATTCGATTACTCTTCTCACTCTCCACGCGGGCGATCGATGGCTGGACCGGCTAATAACCGGAGATGAGAAGTGGGTCTTCTACGATAATCACCACAGGAAATCCCAGTGGGTTGGAGAAGGAGAGAGCCCACTGGATGTCCCCAAACCCGACCTTCATCCGAAAAAAGTTATGCTCTCTGTGTGGTGGGGAGTGGACGGCCCCATCTACTGGGAACTTCTGCCCGAGGGCAAAACAATAACTGGAGACCTCTACACTACTCAACTACGAAACCTCAAGAAAGCAGTCGACCGTTCGGCCCTGAAAGACAAGAAAGTGTACTATCAACATGATAACGCTCGCCCACATGTTTCGAAACAAGTGAAGCAGGAGCTGATGGGATATGGATGGAATGTTCTCCCTCACCCCCCGTATTCTCCTGATCTTGCTCCTTCCGACTATTGGTTATTTGGCGATATGACACGTGCCTTCGAAGGAAGAAGCTTCAATTCCCGTGGAGCGGTCGAAGCGGCACTCAAACAATACTTTGCCTCACGCCCGGCTGGATTCTACCGCAATGGAATCCATAAATTGAGGGAACGTTGGAGACATGTTGTTGATAATGATGGACAATATAATTAATTATTCGGTTATTTTTTCTTTGAGAAATAAACTATTGAAAAAGTGACAAAGACTTTCCCGCCAACCTAATACAATACATCTGCACATCGAAATTCTACTGAATTCTGTTAACTGAATTTCCAAAAATCCCAGTTTTGTTGGTGAACGGATAATATAAATTTCCCCTGAAATCGGAACTCTTCTTCCCCCCGTTGTGCAACAAAATCATCTATTTCTTGATTTCACAAAACGCGAACTCCTGTTTCGTGACAAGAGTATGCAAGAAGAAGAGATTTAGAGAAACGGGCGGTTCACTGGGGGGTGAGGAGAAGAAGAAAAAGAAGTAATATTTTCTGATATGATGAGAGATCCCTTCCATGAGATCATGATAAGAAGGGCGATGGGGATGATGATGATGATGATGATGATGATGATGATGATGATGATGATGAAGATGATGAGCCACACATTGATTGATAAATATGAAGGATATGAGATCGAATTTCAAGGAGCAGGACGCGTGCCTTCTCGTTTCTTTTCTGCTCGAAAACTCAAAGAAAGTTTTTTATATCCAACTTTTATCCGCCCATTTTGTTTCGAGTTATATCCAAAGTTTTCATGGAAATATGGCTTTTAGTAAAAGAAAAACCTTATGTCTATTCTTCGAAACGCTTATGGCCGTGGCCAACGGTCCCACAACGAAAACTACAGTAACCTATATTCATCGTCAGGATTCATTTTCTTGTTTATAATTGATTTTCGTTGATTTTCCTGGTGTTTTCCCCAAAAGAAGTCGCAAAATTAAAAGTATTGATTGTAAAAAATCGAATGAAACCGCACAAAAATTGATTGAGATAACAAATTCCGAAAAACAAAAATGTTTTTAGGTTACGGTAGTTGTCGTTTGCGGGACCTTTGGCCACGACCACCGGCGTTTTTCTTCCATAGCTCCGATTTTTTAAATACAAGCATGATACCGATAATTAATTTTAGTATTACGGTAGTGTGCTTATCACATAAATTTCTCCCTTACTGTAATTCCCATTATTCTTCTTCGAAAGTTTCTTGACCTCTATTTTATTTTAACGTTTGATTGACTCCTCATCTCCAATGTTTTCTCATTTCACCCAAATATATTTCCCATTTTCTTCCAATCTCATCCCTATTTCGGTGGGTGCAGGCGACAAGAAAATAAATTGAAATGAAATGGACCGAATGAATGCAATTCTCACCCATTTTCTTTCTTCTTTGTTGATTTCGATTTGTCGTTTTTCTGAGCTCCCAACCAGCTTTTGCGGTGTCCAAATTAAATAGATTGAGAGGAGGACAAGAAAATGGAAGAAGACATTTGAACATTTTGAGAGATGTTCCCCTTTTTATTCTATTCTTTGAGATTTTTCCCGGATGAAACTGTAGAAAGTTTATGTGTCTTGGAAGGGAATTGGGTTACTGTATGTAGAAATCGTAGTTTCAGATTTTGTAAGTGCTGTTACAAAAGAGTATCAGGAAGAATGGTCTTGTCAGGGATCCTAACTCAATATCCTGTTTTTTTTAAATTTCATTTTGTGACTCTGGTTTGATTTCAATGCGTGTAAGGTGGGCGGAGCTTAGGTCTTGTAGAGTAGTCCTTAAAGGCGCATGCATTTTTCGTAATTATTTGCTGGCTTTTTTTCCTTTTTTTTCGACGAATTTACTAGATTTTGAACATTTTTACAAAATTGTCGAATAGTCTGAAAAAGTAGGCCAAAAAGTAATTACGAAAAATACATGCTCCTTTAAGGATATCGCTACCGGACCTAAGCTCCGCCCACTCTCGAATTTTATGACGAAAATCCTGTTTAACTAGAGTTTTAGAAATGCCTGCACTCCTGAAACCTCACGAATTTTAGGAGTAAAGCATTCTGGCAACCTGGATTCGAATCCCATATTCTTGGAATTTTAAACTTGTCGATTTCTGAAAGTGGATCTTGTGACTTGGTCCGTTCATTTTCATTACTCCGAATCATCTTCTGTTGAAGAAAGGAAAATGAACAACTTTATTTGTTTCCAAGATACAGTAACTTTGGTAGCTTCGTTGTCTTTGGGTTGTTTATGATATTTCCGGAGGGAGAGTGTCCCAATCTTGCTCGATTTGTCTAACTTTTGTGAGCATTGACCGAAAATAAAAAGGAAGAAGGGGTTTGGGAACCCGAACAAATGCATCATCTTCTTATTCCTTCTACTTTTTTCCTGGTGCCTTCTGTCTCAAATATATAGTTGTTGGTAAAATGGAACGAAGAAAAAGGCGAAAAGACAAAACGACGGGTTAGGAGAAAAGGAAAGAAGAGAGGCAAGGGGCAGGAGGGCGGAAAGAAAAGCAAATTCAGCAGATTTGAGCCTCATATGATAAATTACATCTAGAGTCGCATATTTGTGGTGTGTTGTTGCTGGTGGTGTTGGTATGGGGGTCCGCTTCTTCTTTCCTTGTGTGTCTTCTCACTTTCCACCAACAGAGAGTTCTAACTTCTTTTCCTCTGTTTCGGACCCAATCTCTATCTTCCTCCATCGTCCCTCTTCCCATCCAAAAGA